TATTGCTTTCTGAACAATTTCTGGAGGTGTATTTTCCAACTCTAAATCTTCGTATTCAATTATATTCAATATTTACTAAATCTGAACTGTTTATACTATAACAATCAACAATAAAACTATTTTCGTTGGGTGAGTTGACAGCAATAATTATGCAGTGCTTCAGTTTTGTTGTTATTGAAACGCCGAAAATGGGCTACTTGGGTATTGCACGCGAATCGTCGGCGTAGCGTTGTAAACATGGAGAACGTGTCATATCAATCTGATATGTAACAATTCGTGAGTGACTTGGGTTATCGTGATAACAGTGAAAAATTATGTCTCACTGTAATGGCGGATATTTCTCACTGCGTGGGAAATCTTTCGTTTTGAACATATGAAAGCGATGAGATAAGCGGCACATTGTATAGCATCCGTAGAAAATCATAATTGTTGTTATTGATATTGTTGTTTTTTCAAGAGATTTTGAAGAAATAAAGATTTACATAATTTCACTGTAATATGTAACTTCTTCTAGGCAGGCTACATAACGGTCGACAACAAACGGTACTTCATAGAGCCTGTGGAGCACCACCAAGCCAATAGTGAAGGACACCACTTGCACGTAGTACATCAAAGTTCTCGAGGAGCAGAATCAAATACCAATCGTTGTGGCACCAAAAGTGACTGGACGGAGGAATGGAAAAAGAGGTTCAGAAATAAGTTTCTCAACGAGAAAAAGGAGAACGTCGAGAAAAGAGGTGTAGCAAGTGAGCACAGGTATTTAGAAACACTGGTGGTTGCTGATAAGAAATTTTTGAAACATCATGAGAATAAGGATGTGGAGTTATATATTATGACAGTCATGAATATGGTGAGTAGGTTGAGCATGATACTCCATGGTTTGGTCGTATTCAGAGTTGTCAACCATATTGGGCGCTTCGGGTATCATTGAAGATTAGTTAATATAGATCAATTCGAATGATGTAGTACTACAGTCCATTTTTCTGTCATACACAATCCTATTCTGTCTTTTCTGATCAATTTCAAAATGGTGGGACAAAGCCATATCCAAATACTTAGTGAATCACATGAACAAATTCAAAATTTTTCTCGATTGTCAGACATGTTTGAGGGGTGGTTGTGACTCTTGTCTAGCTGGATAGATTATGCTGATAACATTGTTTGAAATACAGACAGTGAACGTATGTCATCTTCAATAGCTCATATACTGTAAAACATCCGGTGATATGATAACTAATTCTTTTAATTAAAATTCATAAAAATCAACTGGATTGGAAAAATTGTTAACATCAGTGATGAAGATTCAAAAAAGTTCTGTCCGTTCTATGAGTTTACTCTGGAACTGTAATATCTCAGTGAATACTTATTCAATTTAATCGAAATAGGCGCCACCGATGCACTTTGGCCAGCATGATTAATTCTGTGGATCTACCCGACCCTCCACTGCAACCCACAAGGGTTTATTGTGGCTTACACCTATTCAAACTTGACCAAATAAATCCAGCTTCTTAACGAAGTCGATTAGTTTGTATGGTGAGTGGTCTTTCAGGCCAGATGGTACGGCTCTGTCGGACTCTAAAAACCTGATTCGGTCCCCAGCGGGGCAGGCACAAAGTATGTGCTCTGCTGCTTCATCATTTTTCAAATAGAGGTGACACACACTGTCTTTCGACAGTCCGAGTCTCGGCATTTGATGACTGAAATGACAGTGACCTGTAAGAAGGCATGTTGGACATCGTAGTTCATCCCTACTGTAGTCCAACAACTGTTTGGTATCAAGCTTCGAAGGTTGAATAAACTCCTTGGATTAAGCCAATCCTGGAAGATTTTTCCAGAAGTCCATAAATCATCTTACCATCCAGATATTCAATCTTTGTTTGGCAAAGCCTTAAGCGATGCCAATGACAGGTTTATTTAAGTGATATACTGATATCTGATGGTATTTCAAAATACGAAGTCCGGCTATTAAAAATCGAGAGAGGGCGCCCTAGAGAGGTGGGGAAAAAACGAGTAGTGCGATGGTTATCTGGAAATCTTCTCTATTTACGCACCAAAACACGTTTTTGGTACTATTAAAGTATTTGTGTAGAAGCGGTTTGAAACGAACGTGTTTTTTCTCGTGCCGAAAACCATAATATGTGACGAAAAAGAGGGGCAATGTATCAATCTCAAATTTCTCGTTGAATTGAAAAAATCTCCGACTGAGTGTTACACGTTGTTGCAAGAGGGCCTAAGGGACAATTCTTCATATAGTGCGCGTGTTTCTGAATGGTGTAAGCACTTCAGTTAGGGTCGAGAAAGCAAGGATGTCCAAATCAAAATTCAAGGCAATGTTGATCGTTTTTTTCGACATTGAAGGTATCGTGATGCCTGAATGGGTTCCAGAGTGTCAGACTGTCAACCAGTCAGTTTTGGCAAAACTGCAAGAACGAGGACGTAAGAAACGGCCCAAGTTGTGGAAGAACAACTCATGGATTTTGCAGTGGGACAACGCACCTGTAGTCTAATCAACAAATTCAAAAATATGAAAAATAGAGATAAAGGTCCTAA